TTTTTTTTTTTTTTTTTTTTTAACCTTTTTCTTAATCAGTCTGACTGGCTTAATTTAAAGGTGGGTTAAACCTTTTGAGACCAAATTTGTTTAAAAAAATTAAGGACTGGGCTGAAATCTCCAGAAGCAAAAAATTACTAGAGGCTGGGTTTCCACTCAGTTCCCTAAAGGAAGGAGATAATTTTGTAATACTATTTATTTATGCCTCTGACTAACAATACCTGGTTTAAATTTTTAAAAAAGTACAATACCAAAGATCCACAGTTCTTTGAAAAGCATGGTTCTTACCATGTTTTTTACTATGACTTTGTTATTATGCCTAACAATTATGTCAGAAACTGACGGGTGTTTGTTCTTTTTGACATTTGTATAAATGCATCTGTTATGACGCAACATTCCTGGCTCTGGTCCCTGACACTGCAGTTTCTAAAATATGTAGACATCTTCACATGTCCCCAGATTACTCAGTATCATTTAGTTTAAGTCTACTTGAATAAATTATTTGTTAGCTGCTGGGAGTCCTGTTTCTAAGCTTTCTTGAATAATAAAAGATACCACTAAGTTGGCAGGTTGGCTTCTGAACTAAACAATTTTGCTTCTGGGCTTTTCCTCAGATCTTTAGTTTGAACTCCCCTGTAAGACCTCATAAGTTAATAGCATTATGCAAGACAGCCATGGATTCATTACACACACACAATTAATACAGAACCATATCCATCATTAACTGTGTCAGCCACTTCAACAGCATTCAAAGATGTTTTGGGGAAGGCAGAAACAGAGCAAAATACTACATCCTGCAGAAGCTGGGCAAAACTTTTAAAGAAGCATGTAACTCATTTGTCCCGCTGAAGTGTAGCCACTGAGGTGCTCCAGCACCACTTCCCAGTCAAACTGCAAGGGTGCATGGTGAGCAAGAAGCTCAGTTTTAGGGCTGTAGTTCATCTCTTTATTGTGATCCATCCACCTGAACACGACCTCCAATCACATCTGCGCGTCTCCTTTAAAACAAAAATGCACTTCCTGTAACTTTGGTGCAATTAAAGATGCGACCCATCTCTACTGTAGAAATTCATTGTTCGGAAAAGCCGTTTTGGACTGACAGAGGTTGGGGACCTCTCTCCCGAGGACATGAAGAAGATCCGCTACCTCTCCCTGATCGAGCTCACGGCCTTCTACGACGCGCTGGGCGTGGAGCTGAAGAGGAACCGCCTAGAGAGGGTGCGGGGCCGAGGTACCGTGTGTGGCATCCCCTTTGCAGTCACCTTCATGTCCATCAGCTTTGAAAGAATGTGCTTAGGAGGCTGTGTTTCCTTGTTTTCACATTTGTTGTTATTGTTTTTAAGAGAATGGTCTTTTCGGAGTCCCTCTCACCGTACTGCTGGAGAATGATCAAAAGAAGGTTCCTGGAACAAAAGTGCCCCTTATCTTCCAAAAAGTGAGTATCACTTGGCCTTCTTGGTCACTAGGATTTTCTTTTCCACCATTTGTATTGATACTCAAAGGAGTCATCAGATAAGAGAAATTTCTGACAGGCATTACAGACTGGCAGGTGTCTAGAGATTGTCTGACTGAATATTATGGTTTGAAAACTTTGTGACAAGAAGAGAAAATCTGCTCCTTTTTTGTTTTTTTTTTATTTGTAGTGGGTACTCTTTTTGATTTTTGTAATTATGTGATACTATGCAGGAAACTTTGGGGAAAAAAAATGTCTTTCTGTTTCCCTTTTTCATTAAAATAGAGAGCCAAGCAAAACTGTGTGTGTGCAGAAGTGGCAGAGATGAGTTGTCTCAGGAGTTTTAATTTCACATTAATTCAAGGCATAGGTATTACTTAGCTAGTTTCCAGAATGGAAGCAGTATCGTATGACAAGACAAGGGTATTTAAATGAGACATTTGGCCACACAGGGATATCCTGGGGATGTCTTGGAGGCAGGTACACAGACACAAGTATGTGTGCAATTGCACAGATTTACACAGACTCGAAATGGCAACAGCTTTCCTTGTACATACTGACAAAAGAAGTGTTGGGGAGTGTCAGGGAAAAGAGTGACACGACTTGAGCATATACATGACTTTGCGATTAGCTCCACTGCTGCCCTATCAAGATAACATTGGAAATTAGATGATTAAAGGTTAGGGCAGGAAGCAGATCTGGTGGTGAAAATCCAGAGCTGTATGATTAAATGCTGGAAAAATTTTTTTCCTCTATGTTCAAAATTACATAAAATCAAAGCACTTTTTTTTGTTTCTTGTGGGTTTTTTTTTTGTTTTGTTTTGTTTTGTTTTGTTTTGTTTTTAATAACCAATTGGAGTGGAAAGTGTAGTCCTCTATTCACAGATATTTCAAAATAAAATATCCTGGGATCATTTTCTAATCAGAGTTCTCAGTTCCAAAAAACCTATGTTATCTATAGACCTTTCCATTGTGTCCCTTGGGGTGCACTTAAACATTTCTCAGAGGTTATTTTTCCTTCAAAACACCATTGTTTTTAAGTATATCTGCTGTTTCATTAATATATTTATGTGTTAATTGTTCTATAGCTGTGCCAACTTTCAAGTCAAGGACAGAGGGGCCTATTGCACTAGCAGTTTTTTATACTCTACGTACTCCTTACTTCAGGATCAGGACTATGGAAGCAGATTAGGCAGATTTATTTACATAAACTGTCTGGACTTCATTAGCTGACTCCATAGAAATGTATCTTTTTTCAGATTAGTTTAAAGGATACCTAGATTGAAAAGAAAGTCAGGAGTATCTTAAGCACTTCTGAGTATTTTCCTGGGTTTTTTTTTTTTGTCTCTTCTTTCAGCTGCTGCTCAAGCTTGAGGAAACAGGTTTGGAAACTGAAGGAATTCTGCGGGTTCCCGGATCTGCCTCCAGAGTCAAGGTATACACTCAAGACAGTTTTCTGTCTTCTGGACCACAGACTCTATGTAAAATAATACAGGATACACACAAATTCAGACTGAACACAAATACTGATCTGTGTAGCTCAGCATTCCTACTCCTGCCAGTGAAAGGTCAGATTAGTTCCTGGGAACCAATAAATCACAGACCATTTGGTCTATTACTTTGATTTAGTTAATGTTCTATATAAAGTGCAGAGGATGTTGAATGTGATTTTTCTCCACAAAACTTTGAGACATCCTTTCACTTTATCTCTGTCATCCAAAATTGCTGTGGTCTTATCTCTGTTTTAATTTATTTCAGAAATGCAGAGTTCCTAAACTGAGTGAACATCAGATAAAGATCTTATTCTATGTCATTTTAACCTCTGTGTCAATTTATTTTTCATTTATCATCTGTGATCTCGCAATTTCATGATCCAAGTGAGAGAAATTTGGCCTCTGTTCACTTCTGGCAGCCTGAAGTACTGCATTTTCACAGGCTATTTGTGGGCTATGAACACAGTATAATTGGCACCCAATAACCTGATGCTGTGGGCCAGTGATATGTGCAATTGTTTCTCCAGACCAACTTCATTCCAGGAGCTGGAGGAGGCAAATTAGAAAAACAAGGCATTTTTTTGGTTGGTTAGGCTTTTCTTTCTGGGCTTATTAGAGTCTATCTCTTTCCCAGATTTTTGGGGTTTTTTTCCTTATACTTTTTTTTTAATCTGGTTTAAGCAACACCTTACAGTGCATCCTCCTCCCACTTTTTCATGCAGGAAGTGTCAACAAATAATGGGGATTGCTAAACAGTTGGGTGGACTGAGGATCATAAAAAATGGCTGAATAAGAAAAAGCAGCATTACATGAAACACACTAAAGATAGGCAGCAGCATGCCAGCTCCTTCGACTCCATGTATTGATAAAAGTACCCAAAGCCTTGAAAAGTGCCACATCTTGCAGAAGGGAGCTCCTAACTTGCCCTGTACTTTTCAACTTCCTTATTTTTTCATACAAATGATTGAATCTTATTTTACACAATCTCAAATTTTTCCAGTCTTTCCATGGAGATTGCACAGCAGGGCTGTGCTCTAGTTCAATTATTTTCATATTCTTTGCATACACTGCACTGTGTCTTGTTCACTTCTTTTTCACAACCTTTATCCTGGGAGCTGCTATGAGATATGACTTCATATGCAACTCCTCTATACTAGGTGGTAAGTTAAACTGCCCATATAAAAGTTTTAAACTATTTGAGTTTTGGTTTCATTTGACTCTGCCCAACAAACCAACGAGCAATAGCGAGATTTTTTTCAAAGCAGATCCAGATTTCATCCTTCAAAAGCCTTCATACATTATTATGACATTAGGACCTGAGGGTATTTCAACTTTATTTCAGTCTTGTTTGGAAAAGAAAAGGCATATGGAAATGATTAAAGGTTTCTCTTCTATAAAACAAAGAGTAAAAGAAATTAATACAAGTTTTCCTCTGTAACCAAAGCTCCAGTGAACCAAAACTGTATGATAGTCTAGTGAAGGATCAGTCATGTAAAAAAAATTGCAGCACATATTTTAAAATTATTAGATGCATATATAGATACATGTATACAAGGCAGGAAGGCAGAGGAGAGAGGGAATTAAATATATAAAATATATGCTTACCTATATATATATATAACGTTTATGTTTCCAAAACCTTCCATTCTGTTTTTGTGGCTTTTTCCCAGTTCTCAGCAGAAAAATGTGGACTAGAATTCTGTCCTCTTGTGCTTTTGATGAGGTGGGGATTTCTGTTCCACATTTCCAGTCAGTTGCAGGAGAAAATTCAGTCTAGGTGTTTGTATTGATTATGTGCAAAGGATGTGACTACAGAGGAAGCTGAGATAGCCCAGATTAAAACCAGTAAAATGTGCTAGTAAAAATGACACTGTAACATTTTATGAGAAATCCTGAACGACTTTCTACTTCTGTTTGTGCAACCATTTGGCTTCATTATTTGTGACTGTACTTGAAAAGTAATTTCCTTCCATTCATGTGAGATGTGGCAAGCAGAATTCATTTTTAAAAGCTTTTCTGCCTGAATGGACTGAACTTTTTGCATAATAATAAAGTACATCTGACAAAATCATGATCTGAAACTTAATATTTGCTACAGATATATTTTATCATAAATGGTCTCGTAAAAAGCAGCAACAAACTTCCTATGGATAGGACAGTGTTTGGCCAGTAATATTTGTGAAAGCTGCATTATTTATGGACATCCTTATATTAAAATTCTCTCCTTCAATCTTTTTAACTCAACAATTTTTTGAGGACCTTGCATTTTTTGAACGGTGATCTGGGTTTGAAGCCAAATCCTGTCCTACTAGGAGCCTTGCTGAGTATTTCCCTTTCACATACGTGTTTTGAACACTGGATAGTGACTCTCCAGAACTTAACTGACCTTTGTTATGGAGAAGGAAGCTGCCTTTGGAGAACAAGGGGATTAAATGGGAACCCAAAATGGTATCATCATCAATTCTATCTTAAACCTCTCCCGTGTCTTTAGAAGTTTGGGGGGCGGGGAGGTTTATGCATTGAGGTTTTTTCTGACAGTAATGGATTTGAATATTTCTTTTTCTACAATTTGATCAAATCTAACTATAATTATCCTAACGTAAGTCTTCCTTTCAAAGAATGGAAGATCTGAATTTTAAACCATTTGCTCAAGGCCCATGGATTCAGAATACCTAGCAAATTCACTGGCAGTGAAGAAGAAACACCACTGCTTTGTGACTTAAGGGTCAAAAACTCTGGAGAGTGTTCTGAACAAAAAGAACAGCTGTGCAAACTGAGTTTTCTGCTTCTAGTTTTAAGACGTTGCACAAAATGTCTTGCTTTAAGGTGGTTCAAATTGTTCACTGGCATAAATCTAGATAGAGCAAATCAAATTTAGCCTGGGTTGCCAAATATCTGCAGGAACTTGACTTGTTAACCTGCTCTGAGCTCCACATGGTTGTCACTGGGTTAGGGCTGCTTTAGTTCAAGTGCTGTAGTACAAACCTATCTGCTGCTTGTGATGGGATTTCTGAAGTGATCACAAACTGCTCGATCAGCAGCAATGATTGAAGGCCAAATGTTTCTTTTATTTTTCAGAATCTCCATCAAGAACTTGAAGCAAAATTTTATGAAGACACCTTTGACTGGGACCAAGTACGAAATAATGATGCAGCAGGACTGCTAAAAATGTTTATAAGAGAACTCCCAAGCCCACTCTTCACAGTAGAATATCTGCCTGCATTCATCATGCTAGTAGAAAGTATGTGGAATTGGAGTTAGTATGGACTGATATGATAAAATGCAAGAGCAGACGTTACATTTTTTTTCTCTTCTCTGAAGTATTTAGAGAAAAGTCATGTAATTTTTTCTCCCTCTGAAGTAGAGAGGAAAACAGATCTGGTGCTTTGCCTAGACATTTTAATTTTCTGTAAGGTTTTGTTTTCAAAAGAGAAGGCTGTCTGCATTCAGCTAATTGCACAGCTTTGTTATGTGAACAAAACAACTGTTTAATGTAAAATTTGGAACCTGTGTACTGGTATACACAGTGACTGAGTAATGACTTTCATATATAGCCTCTGATTCACATTAACTGTAGGTTTTACAAATGAAAATTTCTGGAAGGTAAAAAACTCAAATCCCTATCCTTATTCTACTAGACCTACTGGGCCTATTTTATTTATGTTAAAGTTTATGTTGAGGTCAGATCATTGGTACAGAGATATATGTGAGCACAGAAAGGTTCAGGCAGCTGGGCTTTGTTTTCAGTGTACATACACCCTCTCAATCTCAGCACATTTTGTTCATTTCTCTTCCAGGAAGAATGCAATTGTACCTTGCCATACCAATGACTTCACTGTAAAGTCACTCGAGCTAGGACACACTGAAGTCTCAGGATGGTGAATTTATTAGCAAATTGGTACAGAAAACTGAGGATCTTTACATAAGATTGCAGTCACGCTTTCAGTGTCTCCATGAGTAGCTTAAAGGGCAGAAGGAGGTGACCTCTCTCCATAAACTTCACATACCTGAGTGTGTGTGGACTGCTTTTGAGCTCCAGGCTGCATGCAGTTACAATGGCTCAGTTTGGAGAAGACTGAACAGGAGATGTCTGTGCAGAATAAAGTGACTTTGTTCCCTACAACAAATACACAGATATCTAAGAGAAGCTAGCTAGTACTAAAAAATACTGGATTGTATATTGATTCACATATTAATATGGTTATAATTTTATAGCGCCTTGTGTCCCTGTGTGACAAAGATCCAAGATGATGAGGAAAAACCTACTCATTAAGGTGATTTTGAATTTGGGGAAAAGTGTATGGTTAATTAACACCTAAGCATGCTAGTCTCAACCAGGGACTAGCTGGTGTTTCTAGAACTGCTGACACACAACATTTTTAGAACAAACCAATTCCAGTTGGGATTTCAAAAGCATTAATTATTCATGTCTTTAGAAATCTCCAAGATCAAGTTACAACTACAAGCTTTGCATTTGTTGATCATGCTGATGCCTGAAGCCAACAGAAACACAGCCAAGGTAAGTTCTTCATTTGCTATCACCTGCTTCACCTGCTGTCACCTGTGGTGCTTTTGACTTTTAAATGAGAGACTCATTTTTTTTCAGATGCTACACGGGGAAAGTATTCGTCTGTGTTTTTTGACGATTTCCCTCAAAAGATATTCAAATTTCCTGGCTGTCATTTCTTTTACAAGCAATTAAGAAATAATTGGGAGTATCCAACTGCTGGATCTCAGGCATCATTGTTATGGAGCACTCATTTCAAAGAGGCATATTCCTTGCTTAGTGTGAACAAAGGAGGTCCTGTTTCTGGAATTTTTGTATAACTGAAATTCTCCAGAATGAATTTGAAAGAGAAGCTGCCCTGTAGGATTTTGCCTAGTACTCCTGGTACTGGAAGGGCTTTCAGGGCACTGGACCAGGCTGCAGCATGCAGTCCAAAGTAAAAATGTGCATCTGTAGCACAGATGTCAGGAGCTCACCCTCAGTTTGCCTTACAAATCCATGCCCACCCCCATGTGCCAATTCCTGGTATGAACACAGTGGGTACAAGCATTTTGGATGTTCGGGAGCTCCCGGATCTGACTGCAGCTATGTCCTGACCATAAGAGACACTGGTTGCATCTTTGAGCCTGTTTCTACATCAAGGAAACCTGAGTGAAGAAGCTTCCTGGGAACCTTCAGACATTTCATCAGGTCCCTGTTCATCAAAACCATGCAAGTTTCCCATTTCTGAAGGCCTTTAATTAGTCAGTTTAGACACAACCTTATCAGTTCAGGTCCCTTCTTTAACCTGAATTTATTTATACAATAACCAGGGACAAGAACAAGAGCTGTCTTCAAAGCACCTGGAGGTCTACTAGTGCTCTGTAAAGAATGGGGGTTGTTTCTGCTACCAAAGTTCATTTGGATATAAAGCTGCATATGTAAAACACATGCTAGAGGAGTAGTCTTAATTATTACTTTATTACTAATTAGGCTTCTGTACAAAAATAGAAGTGATGACAAAACTTTACACAGCTCCACTCTCTTGTCTATAATGAGATCTTAGAAACTTCTCCAATACAGTTTCTATTTTGTAATTCTTGGGTTTGTAAAAATGTTTTAATTGCTATGTCAGAGTACCAAGACAGTGTTTTTAGTGGTATGGTTTTCATGGTTTAACCAAGAGGCAGCTAATACCTGTCATGGTTTAACCCTAGCCAGCAACCAAGCATGTGCAGCTTCTCACTCACTCCCCCATCAGTGGGATGAGGGAGAGAATAAGCAGTGTAAAAGCTGGAAAATTAATGAGTTGAGATAAATGTAATTTAAAAGGAAAACAAAGGCTGTTCATGAAAACAGAGCAAACAAAGGAACTCGCCATTTCCCATGGGCAGGCAGGTGTTCAGCCATCACCAGGGGAGCAGGGCTTGATTGCATGTAACAGTTACTTGGGAAGACAAATGCCATCACTGCAAAGTCCCCCCCTTCCTTCATCTTTCTCCCACTTTTTTACACTGAGCATGATGTCACATGGTCTAGAATATCCCTTTGGTCACCTGTACTGGCTGTGTTTCCTCCTTATTTCTCATGCATCTCAGCACTGGCAGCACAAAAATCAGAAGCCTGGGCTCTAAGCAAGTCCTAATCAGCAATAACAACAACAACAAAAAATTTTTATTATAAACACTGTACAGCACAAGTCCCAAACATAACCCTATACCAGTCAGCATGAAGAAAATTAACTCCACTCCATCTGAAGCCAGCACACCACCACACAGTCATTCCTTCAGTCCTCCCCCTCCCAGTGGGATGGGTGAGAAAATTTGAAAAGAAAAATGAAATTCATGGGTTGACAACAGCAGTTTAATAGGACAGAAATGAATGGGAAAATAATAATGATTGATTAATTAGAGCACACAAACTGTGCACAACACAGTTTTTCACCACTCATTGACTGATGCCCAGCCAGTTCTTGAGTAGTGGGCCAAGACTAGTTTTCCCTACAGTTTAGATAGTGAGCACAGTGCCATATTAGTATGGAATATCCCTTGGGAGTCAGCTCTCCAGGCTATGTCCCCTCCCATGTCCTTGCCCCCTTGCTGGCAAGGCAGCATGAGAAGCTAAAGATTACACTTGGCTAAGTGTAAACACTGCTTAGCAACAACTAAAACATCAGTGTGTTATCAACATCATTCTTACCCTAAATCCAAAACACAACCCTGTACCAGATATAAGGAAGAAAATTAACTCTATCCCAGCTGAAACCAGAACAATATTGCAGAAGGACTCATTGGTAGACTCCAACTCTAGCCACAGCTGCAGTCTGTGCTATTTAATCATTCAAGCAAAATTCTGAATAAACTACCCAAAAGAGGAAATTAATTTCCTTTGACACTGCCAAGTATGTGCAGAAGTAAGGTCAATGAGCAATCATTTAGCTCTTCTTGCTTTGTTATCCCAGAATAAAAGTTTGAAGGCTGTTGGCAGAAATTTCAGGTTGTATTGCTTGTGGAACTGGTGCATATTTGAAGAGAGACTAATGACCCCAAGTCACTGTGATATAAAAAGCTCTGGCTAGATACATCAAAATGGACACTTGATAATTTGTGAAGACAGGAACTATTCCCTTTGGGTACATCTTACCTCTACTATAGGATTCAAAGCCTTACTGTAGACACTGTATTTGCCTTATAAATTTGGGATTATGGTCTAAGTGATAATTTATTAATGTGTATTTTGATATCATTAACTATCCCCCTGTGGTTGACACAGGCTGTTGTAACAACAAGTATCAGAGTAATCTAAATACAATGGAAAGACCACAAAATTTCACTTCCAAGTGCAAGTATAGCAGCCAGACACATGCATTTGAAAATGCTGCATTTCAAGAGCAAATTATTTCCTGAAATTAAACAAGTCTTGCTTTTTTCCAGGCCTTTCTTCAGTTCCTGAAGAAGGTGGTTGCTAATGAAGGGAAAAACAAGATGAATTTGTGGAATGTGTCTATGATTGTTGCGCCAAACCTCTTCATCTACAAAGGGAAACGTGCAAACCAACAAGAAATGCAAGCAGCCGCCACCACTGCGCACATTGTGCGGCTTTTAATCCGGTACCAGGACATCCTGTGGACAGTGAGTAGTGCTGCTTCTCCTTTATGGTTCCATTACAGTGCAGTACTTTGCTATATGCAGGACGTGTGCAGAAATCAGAATAAACGGACCTTCCAAGGAGAAACAGTTTCTTTGGAAACTGGCTGTAGTCTTCCATGTCTAGAATGAGGCACCCTGGCAGATATTTCTGGATTGAGAGCTATCTTTCTTATCTATGACACCTATTTTAGCATCAATTGCCTTCTGGAAGTAGCTCTCCCATACCATTGTTTAAACAGAGTGATGCATAGAAGAATTATTTAATCTGGATGTGTAGGTGATATGTCTGAACTTGAATGTGGTTAGATATCTGTTTAAAGTCTGCACCACAATAAAATGGGACAAAAGTGTGTACAACTTTTTGAGCTTCTGAAGGTTGGCCTGGAGATATTGACAGTCTCAGCTTGTTTGCTCATAACAGAGGGAGAGTATAAAGGGGGTTGCAAAGACTACCTCCTGCAGCTGCAAACATCGCTTTAAAGTTTCTTATGGCATTAAAGATGATCTACAATTTCACCAAAGGAATAACTGTAGGTTCTTAGAGGAAGCTACTGATTGCATGTATCTTCTAGGAATAAACAGAGTTTCTGCTGCCTAAAATTTGTGCCCTTCTAAAGACCCAACACACTGGGGAAAAATTACTGTATATTTTCTGATATGGTTTCCTCCTTCTAGGTCCCATCCTTCCTGATTTCCCAAGTGAGAAAAATGAATGAGGCAGCAATGAACAACAGCAAGAGACAGCTGATGTTTGACAAAGGAGTGAGAAAACTTTTGAGGAGAAAGACTATGGAACGGGAGAGACCTGAAAGACCAGAGGTATGATAAAAGGATACAGGTTTTAAGGGCAGCTTTAAACAGCCTCTCTCCTTTATCTCATGAGAGATTCTGGGTGTGGAGAGGAAATTTTGCCATACAACATAAGCTGATTTGAGAGTTATCTTGAAAGGTGTGCTTCTCAGTCTAATACTCTGATAAGACAAAGTTTTGGGAATTGATTCAGAAAAGGTAAGGAAGGCAGAATGATTTACAGTAGCCAAAGCTGCCAAGCTGGTTTTTTAACCTGTTTCATAAGAAGTGGTTATATGTGGACTGTCCCTGACAGAGAGTCTTCCATGAAAGTTTAAAAGAATGAAGACTGGTGAATTGTAGGAGAAGTAATCAAGGAAAGGGCAAAGGATTCTATAGGCATTGAAGAACAAAAGAAAAGACAAATTAGGAAGGAATGATATCACAAGGTTATGAGAAATAGAGAATGAGATGCCTAGTACAGGCAAGAGAGAAAATGCAGAAGGTAATGTATGGGGAAAAATGTAGGAAGATAAATGTTATGTATGAATGGTGAATACATTCTAATTCACCTTTCTCAATAATTTGCTGGCACTGACTGAAGTATTTTATCTAGGGTAGGAGATACATTGGTGCTGCAGATGGAGACAGTGATGTTTGTTTTAAATGACAGTGTAGACTACTGTGCCGCAGAGTTACATTCAGGCCAGGATGAACACATCCTTCTCTGAGGAGAGTCAATTACTGAAGTCATTGCACCTTTGGGAAGACAAGTCCATTGATCAGAGTAATTGGCTCTACATCTAATAAAAATTAGGGTAGCCATGGCAAGGAGCTGAAATATGAAGGGTAAATTGGAGGCAAACTCTGTTTGGATAACTGAGTTTAATGTTGAGAGCACTTAACGCAATCCCCAGGTCTCAGATGTTCTAAATTACACAGAGACAGAGACTGGAAAGACTATTGTGTTCTAGTCAGCGTGGTATTAACTGGATTAGAACTGGAATGCAAACCTTGCTAATTGATTTATCCACTGTTAATCATGGAAGAGTGCATAAACTTCATAGATGATCATTTGAACCCTACACAAGGTCAAATTTCAAATTAACAGAAACCATATGGTACTTGATGTTTTACTGTACGCACACTTCAATCTGGTTGAAGATATAGGAAGCAGAAACAGAGAACTGGATTTTTATGCCTCAGGGGAATTTCATCTTCAGAAGGAAACACAGATATTCTTAATAATTTTTATGTTTTTAAATAAACAGTTGGTTCACTGCCAGTGTTAACAGAAATAAGTTAAAGTTACAATTCAAGGGCTTTACCCTGTGTGTATTTATGTGCTACTTACCAAAGAGTTTGTGTCTTTGTGTTGTATCTGATTTATGTCTACAAATTTGCATTTGTGTGACTGTAAACGTCTTTTGAATAGCCAAGAGAACGCAGGACAGTGAGTTTTGCAAGCAGCCTCAAATGAGGTTGCAGAACTGCTTGCAAATTGAGCTAGAGCAATATTTGCCTTAGAGTTACTCTATTGAATATTGATTTTAAGGAGCTGTCACTTTCCCTCCATGCAGTCTGACATACCGGAGGGAGTGATAAGAGTTTATGCTCCGCTGCATTCAAAAGTCTCTATGGCAATTCAACTGAACAGCCAAACAAAAGCCAAAGACATCCTGGCTCGATTCCACTGTGAAAACAGGTGGGTAAAGCAGAACATTTTGTTTTTCCTGAACAACAATGTCAGAACTATAAATCAATAGATTGTTCCCTCTTCAAAGATTCATTGTGTTACAAGAGCTCTTTTTCTAATCTAAAATTGCTAATTTATGGTTATGTCGATCAAAGAAATTTTAACACTTATCTTACTCTTTTTATTTTACTTAATAATTTGCTCTATACAGAATCAACCTGCCCTCCCTTACACCACTAAAAATGTACATTAAACATATATTTTATAGACTTGCCACATAGAGAACCCAAAGGGATTGTTTTACATCTACCCATAAGTGTAGAATATTTTTATTTCTGTAGGATAATAATTATTACTTATGGGAAATGGCAAATTGTGTCTCTGAAAGTCTTTTCTGCAAAGTCTTCCCATGTTACCACATAATTTTGTTCTTTGAATAAATAATATAAAAGAAATTATATAAAAGGTTTAGTTGATTGTAGTGCAGTACTGTACCTCTGTAACAGATTCATTATTCTGCAGTGGTCTGTTCGGTAGAAATTGTTGGTTTTGACAAGGCAATTTACAGGGGAAAAAATATCAAACTTGTTTACCATAGATGGTGGGTGATAACGCAGTGGTTATAACAGAAGGACAAACTGAAAGGTTTTTTTTTTCCATCCTAGCCATGGATCATCACAGAACATGAGAGGCCATATCCAAAGTTTACATGAAATTGGAGGAAATATAGGTAAGTCTTCATTTTGAAAATTAATTCTGAATGTTCTTAACCTCCTAAAATACCTCAAGATAGTACTGTTTTGACACAGCTGGGTCTCTCCTACCCTCCAGTCCATTTGGAGGAAAGGAGCCTGACCCAAAAGCTGTTAGAATCAATGTCATTATTTATTCCAACTCCAGAGTGACAGAAGGGGCATCCCACAGGAGAGAATGAACCCAGCGGCTGGATCTCAGCAGCACTTCTTACAGTCTTGCCAAATGCATCTGACCTTTTGCTTACCTCTCTCACTCTCGTAACTGAGCATTTTTCCATGGTTAAGAGATCATTGGTCTTCCTCTGGCAAGCACATTCCACCTTGCTGTCGAGCATTTTTCCAAGACCTCTTTCTTTTTTACTGTGTATAAATGTTAACCTCCCGCAGATAAAAACCCCCAGAATTGTGAATTCAGCCTCTGCATGTATGTATGCTCTATACTCACACTAATCTGTGCGCTTTATTTAGATTGCAAATTTCTTGCAATAGGGCTTTTTTCATCTTCTGTTTCATGCAGTGACACTTCTTATAATAAAACAACAGTGGGTTGCCCCACAAGTTTCTGGCTTAAAGGTCAAAAAACATAATTTGATGTTACACAATCCTTTCTCTTCTTACTCTCTTCTTTCCCTGTACATGCCAAAATTCTGGATGCTCTGTTGAAGTCAGTTGTAACTCACCTGATTAGATTATTTCTTATTTCTTCTCGATTCAGTTCTAAAGAACTTCTGCAAGGTTATTACAAAACATCACAGACTTACTTCAGTAGCAATCAGGAATCAGTCTTTATTGCTGATGATAACAAAAAACTAAATTGGATTTGTGATTTGTTTTGCCCGTCCAAACAGGATGACCAACTGATGCTAAAACAGAAAAATTGTCCTAAAGGCCTTGTGAAACAATCCCAAATATTCCTGCCATGGTCTTCCAAAAACTTGGGTCATTTAATTTACATCTTCATTTAAAATAATTTTTATAGTCCTAGATCCTTCAGGGTACTTTAGTCTGCTGATTATGCATTAATTCATTTATATTGCTTTCACTTGAATAAAATCATGAGGACCCCAGTGACCTTATAAGTAACTGTACAAAAATTTTACCATAATCTTGTGTCACAGCAAAGTAACCTTACCAGTGAAATTACTTCATTACCCCATGTACATGTAGTATAGTCCCACAAATCAACTTAACTCTAGAATTTATTGCCTTATTACTCAACTAAGAGGCACAAAATCCTCATTCAGGCAAAGGCAGCCACAACTTCCCAATCACTAGCTAATTAAAGAGCTGGAGTGCAGAGGAGTTTTTTTTTTAACCAGCAAATTGGCAACTCCCAAAAACCTTGTTACAGTCCCTGCATTACTTTCCAAAATCCTACTGTATGGGAACACGTTTAGAGACCTACATTTTCAGCATTTAAAAATAGTGTAGAAGTTAGAGTTGTAATTCCAGCTCAGTAAATCCAAAGAAATAAAACCCCCCACACTGCAGCACTTAGACTAACAGTGTTGTTGATGATTCTAAATAGACCATATTCACTGTTTGACTAAATGTTTTGTCCATTACTCAGTGTAATGCAGGATATCCTGCCTGGAAGTGGCAGTGAATTCACGACTGTCACAGAGTAAAATCACTGGCAGATTTACCAAAGGCCCTCTCTGTATCCAGGCAAGATGTTAGCTGCATGGACACACCAAATTAGGCTTGCTGTGTGCAAGTCAGAGGAGCATTGAAGGACTTTTTAACACAGCTCTGTCCCCGTGTGCTCAGAACATCTTATGATTCATAGCTGACAATTTCCTTTTCAGGTCAGCACTGTCTGGATCCAGATGCATTCATGCTAGATGTCTACCGTGCAAATCCTCAGGCAGAATGGGTGATAAAACCAAAAGCCAGCTGAAGCAGATGGCAGCAGTATACTGGACAAAAGCCAAATGGACAGGAGTGATGCCTGTCATTTTAAGCAGCTCTTGCAGAGACATAACAAAATGGTATCCACAGGACATCATTCCTACTTACTGTACTGTCCAGCTGATGGTCAGTACATAGTACTTTTGGTATTCCAGCTTCCAAACCATCGGAAAAATATCAGTTATGCTTTCACATGGATTACACTTGTGCCAGTTGGCCCGAGAGGTGAGGAGGGCAGACCAAGGTACGGTGTTCGTTTCCTGACATGGTGTTAGAACAATTTTTGGAAATAATGCAGTGGCATCAGATGAATGAAACACTACTGCCCACAGCATGACACAAAAGCATGACAGACACTGGAGAAGGGAAGATGTCTGTCAGGCATGGAAGGCAGGAGCTCAACACGCAGCAGTGGCAAGACAGCTGTGTGAAAACCAAACCTTTCTCCTGAAAGTAAACCCATACAGTGTGTGTTACTGCAATGCTTGTGTCTCTCAGTCACTCCTCGTGAGTACCTGATGCTGGGGGAGGGAGGCAGGAGGAGGAACTACAGACAGCTGTACTGCTCAGTGTACGTACCACTGTATGTCTCACTACCAGTCTTCCAAAATCATATCTGAATCCCTCAGCTGTGTGCAACTGTAATGCCACAAACCACACTCCCCTCCCTTCCCCTGTCACACAAGTTAAAGGAGACAAAGGGTAGGTGAGGAAGGGATATGCCCCTAGCTCTGCCTTTTACTTGATACTCTCAGAACTAAATCTGTGTAATGCCAGACTATGAGATGTGTTAATGGTGCCACAGTCATGACCTTTTTTGTTAATCATTATATTTTCTAATTTGTAACCTAATTCTTTTTATTTTGTTTATTTTAGCTTTAATATGTAAGCAATTTTTATACTCTTCAGCTGCATCAACAAGAGATCTTTGTTCAGGTCTTGGATAATACAGCATGGAGAAGAAACTGGGCTTCCAATGAGAAAAGGGATTTAATAATTTACACATTAGGTCTTTAAAACCGCAGCCAGTCTAGGCCCAGTTGTGCTGGGGGTTTTACAATACATAGCAAATTGCAGCTGGCATGAAGTCTAAGCAAACACACAGGCTGACAAGAGAATAGTGAGCTGCCACTGAATTGGGAATGTCAGATAGGTTGTCTCATTTGGAGCTAGTCACAAAAGCAGGTGGTGTCAGTCATCTCACTTCGGGCTGTGCTGAACTAAAAGAGGTTTTTTGAGTAAGGAAATCACAAATCTCTGGAAAAGAGACAGTTGTTTTTTAATCTGTGTCATATGCAATAAGTGGGAACCAATGCCTTCAACTGCACTGCAATGTCCCCATCATTAGATGATGATGTTGCACAATGAAACCACCCTCAGCCTGAGCAATGATCTGGACACAGGGATGAGGCAGCAGCTCTGTTTATTACGTAGCAACCTAGAAGTACTCTGAATCAAGTTCTCCAGGTGAACTGGAGGTAACTAAAGTCTGCTGTCCTGCTGTCTGTAACTTGTGATGCTCTGCTGAAGCTGTGCACTGAGGATCTGAACCAGAGGCAGACCCTCTAAAATGTGTCAAGTTAATCATGTTCTCTTTTTTTGTTAGCGGTCAGTGAAAGAAGTCAACATTGAATCAGTAACTTTACCAGCAACAAGAATGTCTACAGAGGGCAGATCCTATCTCCTTTCTTATCTTTTTGATAAAAAATGAGCAACATTTTCTTTAAAACAGTGACATTTTAACTTTCTAGTTGTTTTGGCAGGTTTTTTGTTTTGTTTTGTTTTTTGTTTGTTTGGATTTTTGTTCTGGTTTTTTGTTGTTGTTCTTTGTTTTTTGGTTTGTTTGTTCTGTTTTGTTTTTCCATTTTCTTCTTAACACTAAAGGAGACACAGTTGCAGCCAGGAAAAAAACAGGACAATTGTATTATAAAATACACTCCTTATTTTGACAACTATTTATTTTAAGTATACAAGAGATAGTACTTCTGTGGCTTGTTTGTAGGACTAAGCATAAACGTTTTGTCTGTGCTTTATTCCCTTTAGTTCCCTCTGTAGCAATGGACAGCTCTTTCTGCTTATGCTGCCCTTGAATGTTAGCTGTAAAACAGGACTAGTACTTTCTATATAAAGGCAACATAAGAATTAATTGAGTTAAATTCTACTCTCAGATGTAGCCAAACAATTCCCTAAGCAGATCAGGAGTAATGAACATCCATCTGGGAAGAACAAACTCAACAAAGGCTTTTTATGTGGAAAGTGCTTTGAATATAATCAGATAAATGCTAAGTATCATTGTATCTATAGCAAACTAAAAAGCATTCTGTGACTATACAGAAAGCATAAACTAAGGAAGTAATTTGAAGTGTCACAGCAAATGAGCTAACTTCCTATAGTACTTTCAGACAAATGCATTGACCTCCTTCATCTTGCCCACTCACTTCACTCCGTGCTCTCAATGACTGTGCAAGGGAAAGGACAGAGCAGCCCTGTGTTCATGCTGCAACTTGCTCAGCACATTCTGGACCTCATCAATGTTATTTCTGAAACAGATCTCCCTGCACTCTGTATAGAATATAAGGGGGTTTTGTACCACTTTTACCACTTCACAACTTAGGGAAATCAAATATGATGTAACATGCTGTGAGCTCTACTTTTATGCTGAAACTGCTTATAAGACATGCATATTAGCAGATGAACTGTATTATACGTAGAGTGGCCAAATACCTCCTGTCTCTGAAACACAATGTCATCATTCTCTTTTGATACAAATGGCCTTAATGACCCCTGTGTAGTGGTTAATACTGTTCCACATCAAGTTGTTTTGTATTGTTTTGGTACACTAACTTGACTTAATATGCAGCAGACGAATGGAACAAGCTCAATGGCATTTTGAAATATGAGGTCTCAACGTTAGGTCTTATATTTCAAGATACTGGTTGGAGGCATGAGGAATTTTGTTTCTCCTAACAGAATATGAAGTCAAAACTAAGCTGCGAGAGGATTGTCAACTAACAAAAAGTAACATATGTGGAAAGCTATTAGTAAGAAAGTGGTAGCAAGCAGAGAGAAATTTGCTGAAATTCCAAAGATGCCTCAAGCATTTATATACTCCACGGTTCTACAAGGGCAGCATTTTGCATATCAACACATAGAGAGAGAGTATTGTAAAAAGCAGGTGTTTCAAAACAGACTGGAATGCTTTAACCTATATATGCAGTGAATATCATTAGAAAGTCTGTGTGTGTGCAAATGTGTCTGTGTCCATGTATAATATTAACTACCTCACTCTGCATTTTCCAGGAAAAAAATATTTTGGCTTAGACATTTACTACTTAATCTATTATGAATTTACATTAATGCTGACAAAATATTTTTTTTTGTATGAGGCAAGATTTGAAATTACAAAAAAATATATAGTAAAATATGTATTTCGGCATATGGATGAAATTTTATCCAAAACATGTTGCATAAATTATGCTTGTAATGTGAACCTTGTGAGATCAGATGTTGGGGTTAATAGACAATGAATACAAACACGCTGTGTTTCATTTTTATTTTTCAATGGGTTTCTATTAATGTGTGTCTTCTCTGAAAAATAATACAATGCCACTAATTGAAGTGAAGTGTTTGTATGTTTCCCTCACAATCCTCATTAAGTTATGTGTTTTGTTGAAGTATGCCAACATGTAAGTGTATTTGTACAGCAGTGTGTCCACTGTATTGTATCCATGTCAAAAATAAAAACAATACAACAAAGCCAGCTCTTCAAATGTAAACACGTGTATTTTGGATAGAAGCAGGGGGCAGAAAAGCAGCTTAAAAACTTTTAAAAGCAACTGTGTTGTTACAGCACCTGAACAGCTGTAACTGAGGCACCTCAATACCACCTGAAGAGAGGATCACATTCTGCCACCCTTGCTGAAGTGGAGGAGCTCTTTGCTCCAGGAGCTATTCCCTTGGATTACCTCTATGCAATGTACAAAACACACTGCTTGGAATCTTGCCTCATTGAAAGCAATGGCAAACTGCTTTGGAGTTTCATTTCAGCCAGGATTTTTTAAACTAGCATAAAATACATAGAGAAAAACTAACATTAGAACAAATTGTATGAGTGCATAGTAAAAGCCAAATAAAATAGTAAAGAACAAACAGAAGTACTGCTAGTTCAAAGAGAAAAAAAAAGGGAGATGGGAGTAACTTGCAAAGAACTATGTTTATTATAGATGCATATTAAAGTATGGGACACATTTGTCACTGCTCAGTAATCTAGCCAGTTGATGAATGGATGTCCTTACTTGATTGAGCACACATCCCTCAAACCTGGCTCAAGAACAGCTACTGGAAGACTCATTTTAGAATCTGAGGCAGGCACAGTAAGAAAAGACAAAGGTAAAACTGCAGGCTGGCCTCAAAACTGCCTCCCAGTGTCCATAAGAAATACTGTTTCCCAAAGAATGATTCAACAGTTTGCACTGCCAAAATACATCATTTTTCCCAAATAAGATCCAAATTGTTTCTTCAGCAACACATCATTTCACAGGCATCTGTACTGTAGAGATGCTGCTTGTCCTGAAGCTGAGTCCATGGAAGCATAAACAGGAACATAATCCATCTAGCCAATGCATCTATAATGAGTGTCAGAAGCACTGGATAGTAAGGCACAAGGAAAAAGAGCTGGAGCTGCCCTATGATGTGTAACTAAGAAAATTCTATTCATTAAACTGAATCTGAGACCTTCAAAATTATGCCTTTACTCAGTCTCCTGCTCCCTCTGCTGGGCTATGTCCACTTGCATTTCATATAATCAGAGCCATATAATGGCCCGGATTGGAAGAAGCCTTTAAGATTATCTAGTTCCAATCCCCCTGTGGTGGGCATACTTGTAACTTCTCAGCCTACCAGGTCTTTTTCTTCTAACTAAAATACATGGACAACTGAACTACATGAAATAATGCAGTTTATTGTAGTTTTATTATGTGGTGCAAAATTATTACCTTCTTAGAAAACCGCCAACACACAATAAAGTGAAGTACTGTCAAGTAATCAAAAGAAAACATGCTGTAAACACTGATTAATAAAACTTCCCAAAAGAAAAATACTCAATGCCATTAAAATTGTTGTAGAGGTATTTGTTGTTTAAAACAATTTTGTTAAAATGCAGACATGGAGCTTCTGATTAAAAAATAAATGACCTGAGTTGGAAAACAACCAGAAAAATCAAATAGATGCAGGTTCTTATCAGTTCTTCTTTTCATTACAAAATGAGAATGCAAAATAACAGATCAACCAAAAAAACCAAAAAACCCTCTCTCAATCCAGACAGGCTTTGCTACAGTTCAGTGCTCAGCCCCAGGGCAGGAATGAGGAAACACTCCACGCAGGTCAAAAGCTCTGCTAAAGTCAAACAATTCTGTATGTTGGCCCTTGGTCAAAACAAGGTTCCTCAAACAGCCACGGAATGAACTCTTGCTTGTGAGGCAGTTTTGCTTGACATCAGCTGAAAAACAAGCAGGAAATACATAAAATTTATTTCCACCAAACTGAAAAAAATACCAAGATCCAGGCTATTAAAAATTTTTTCCCCTCTGAAAGAGATAAAACCAACACCTGAGGAGCATCAAGTTCCATTCATGTTTGTATGAACTGTGACATCCCAACATGGACAGTCATTGCTCTTTTCAAGCATAAGCCGTGCACAGCAAAAACTTGGCAGAGTTTTCAGAAATAATTCTTGCCAGGGGTCAATGAAGATGAGAGGGAAAAACAGAGGAGAAAGCCCCTCTGCATGGCTGTTTCTTAAGTTAAAATAGAAACTAGAAGGATATGAAGCAACAACTGAGCTGTACACAGTCACAA